TTGCTATTTTAATTATGTAGATGACATTGTTATGACAGGAGATGACACAGTAGAGTTGGAGTCGTTGAAGAACTTCTTATCCAACCAGTTTGAAGTCAAGGATCTAGGACAACTCAAATATTTCCTTGGAATGGAGGTGGCTAGATCCTCAAAAGGTATAATTATCTCGCAAAGGAAATATGTCCTCGATATCTTGAAAGAGACCGGATTACTCGGATGTAAACCAGTGGCGACTCCTATTGATCCGAATCAAAAACTCGAAAAAGAAGATGGTGCTGAGCCTGTGGACAAGAATCGGTATCAGAAGCTGGTGGGGAAATTGATTTATTTGACTCATACGAGACCAGATATTGCATTTGCTGTGAGCTTGGTTAGTCAGTTTATGCATTGTCCCTCAAAAAAACACTCCAAGGCTGTTTACCGGATTCTTCATTACTTGAAAGGGAGTCCTGGTAAAGGAATCATGTTTTCGAAAAGAGTGGAGATCTTCACTGATGCTGATTGGGGCGGAAGTTCTACAGACAGAAGATCTACTACCGGTTATTGCTCCTTTGTCTGGGGCAACTTAGTTACTTGGAGGAGCAAGAAGCAACCAGTTGTCTCTAGAAGCAGTGCAGAGGCTGAGTTCAGAGCCATGGCGCAAGGAGTATGTGAGTTGTTATGGCATAGGAGGATCTTGGAGGAGCTGAAGGTTGAAGGAGATAAACCGATGAAGTTGTATTGCGACAACAAATCGGCAATCAGTATTGCTCAGAATCCTGTACAGCATGACATGACCAAACATGTCGAAATAGATCGACATTTCATCAAGGAGAGGCTAAAAAATGGTGATATCTGCATACCGTTTGTTCCATCATCATAGCAGCTCGCCGATGTTCTCACCAAGGGACTGTTTACTACGATGTTCGAAGGATTTCTGTCCAAGCTGGGAATGATCAATATCTATTCTCCATCTTGGGGGTGTCGAGTATATCTAAATTAAATATTAGATAGGATCAGTTTTAATTAGATAGAATCAGTTTTTTTTTCTATTAGTTATTAGATAAGATCATTTTTAATTAGATAGAATCAGTCTTTTATTCTATTAGTTATTAGATAGGATCATTTTTAATTAGATAGAATCATTTTTATTCTGTTGTTAATTTTATGCATCTTTTTATGTAAAATTGTTACATTGTAAACTTTATTTAAGTCAGCCATATTCAGCAGAAATAAACATGATTTATTCGGAACAAGTTTTTTCCGTTTTTACGTAATTATTTTATATCTAATACAAAGTTCTTAAAACATATAAATATTCACATTTTAACCTGTGAAGCTAAAAAAAATATCCATCAAGTATCGAATTGGTTTATTTATCAAATCCTAAAATAGATTGCTTCTCAAAGGTCATGTATGTCTTGAATGGTTATGTGTCAAAGCCAAATAGAACAAAAGATAAAAACAAAAAAGAGGAGCATCATTCAAAAAATGTTCAAAGAAATTTTTATTTTACATTTTCTTTTGGAAAAATCTGAACTCCCTGACCTAATTTAAGCAAAGCCGATTAACTTAATTAAGATTCAATAGCTAAACCGGAAAATGAACTTAGTTTATACAAAAACAAAAACCAGCTAAAACCTAATTAATAAACAAGCACATCTAGTCCAAATTTCTATTTATCATTCGATACCCGTAGATTCCCTCAGCAACCAAACATATCAGCATCCAGATAGGGTTTCACAAGCAATGAACAAAACGATAAAAGAAGTGCGATCCGATGAACATAAAATAGAGAAAAAAAACACAATACGATAATCGATAGCTATTAGAAATACAAGTTGAGAATAAGCGACAAAAGAGAATCAAAGGCTTACGACAATGAGTTTGAAGAGGTTAGCTTCTTTCGGAGGCAAGGAAGCTCCCATTGTTTTCTCTGAGGAAAAAAAATTAAGATTCGTACGACGGAAAAAAAGGGTTTTAAGATAAACGAAAAGATTGAGAGAGAAAGGGAGAGTTGCGGTTTGCAAGAGAGAATAAGAGTGGAAGAAGAGTGGTGGCGTTTATCTGCTCCTTCAACCCTACTATGAACAAGGGTAACTACAGCATCTGTGACTAAACTTTAGTCTATGTATTAATTTGGACACTAAAGGTTAAAAAAGTTCTAATTTTGCCACTAAACTTTATGTATTGGTTTTTCTGTCATTAGACCATTAAATTTTATTATTATTATTATTATTATTATTATTTTGATAAATCATTTGACCATTAAATTATTAATAGAGTGATGGTATGATTTTATTTCTCATATTTTTTTAGAAAATTGTCAACTCTTTCGATCGTTGATATTAATTAATTGTCACTACTTGTTGTCATTTTTAATAAGATCAGTATCAAAATATTTGCATTTCACTATTACTCCCTCTCACTATATTGGTTTTTCAAAAAATTCACTCAAAACCAATAAAAATATCATCTAAAAGTTTGACATTCTAATGATCTACTATTCTTTAGCAACCGTGTGATGAGGCCAATTTTAATGTATGTTGATTGTATTTTCGAAATAATGCTCCTCACCACTGGATTTTCAAACAAACATCTTAAATCGCTTAAATTCGAAAAACTCCAAACATAATAATTTTTTATGTTTAAATTTGTTATTTTAAATAGATTTTTAAAAATATATTAAAAAATATTATATTATTCTTCTATTTTTTTCTAAACTATTGTTTGTTTGTGTCTTTTCATCTTTGGTTGGTTGGTGGCGTCATCAGCTTTAGTGTTGATTGTTGTCACTGATATTTCTTTGTTTGTTTTTTTATTTCTATATATTGCATCTTTTCTTCATAATAATGTTGTCTTTATGACACGATTTTCTCAGCCTTTATGGTATATATTTTTTGGGTGTTTCTTGAGTTTTTTAGTTGATCTTGTCATTTATTTTTCTCAAGGTTAAAATTGACGTTGTCGCGACTGATTAAGATGGCGTTTATTTGTTATCCCAATGATATTCCCTATTTTGGACCCTTGAATTGGAGTTTGATACGCAACATGCATTCGTATATAGTTTTATTACGATGATTGGCTTTTATTTGTGTTTATTGGTGGTCTTTCAGTAGTCAAATCCTCTATTTTGATTTGTTTATCGTAGCGATCAGATTTGTTTGTATCTATCTATTGTTCGAGGTCTTTGGATAAGTTTTTCACCTTTTCATTGTATGGCCCTTATATGATCTTTAAGTGTCTATTATATTTTTGTTAATAGTTATGAGATAATATCCTAATTATGTTTTAGTTTAGGATTATATAAACTCTCATTGTAATTTGAGATTTTTATTATTAATAAAATTAGTTTTTTATTAAAAAACTAAATTAATAAAATTGTTAGAGAAAGATGAGATAAAATTGTCAATGTCTAAAGTGGTAACAAAATACGCGAGAGAGTGAGTTTATAATTGCGAATGAATTGTGAAAAAATTACTATTTTTTATGAAGAAGATGACGAAGTAAAATAATAAAAAAAGGTTTCCATGTCAACACCAAATTGATACCTCATCTAATTGTTAGTGATCAAATCGACTATAGACTAAAACTTAATGATTAATTGTATAATTTATTCTAAAAATAAAAGATGAATTTAAAATAAATAAACTGTGTATGAACTAAGCAACTCTGATATTTAAACGGATTATTGTTATTCTTAAAAGTCTTAGATTTAAATGAGTACTAAAATACTCATTATCAAATGATTAAGAATCTTTTTAATATAATATTATATGCGATCACTTCAAATTAGTAAATAAATAAACTATTGTTCCAACAAATAAAACAAGCAAATAATATTTGTCCTTTTAGATATTTTAGGTGCCTTTTTTATATCTTTTACGAAATGCAAGTTAATAACTATCTTCTATCAATTTAAATAATAAATAAACAAGAAAATACCTTTTAAGTTGATAATAAATGTTATTATAACAAAAACTATATATTTTCTAATCTCTTTTTTTAAGTAGCCCATAAATCAAGTACAAGCTTAGTGTTTACGTGTAAAGAATGAAAGTTTATAAAGTTCGATTTTTTTAAACAACAATAAAATGAGTGAGAAAACATATTTCTCAAGTTTAATTTATGTTTAAATTGAGTAGTGTAGAATAATCCTATACAAAGTTTAATAATTTGTGTTATCAATATTGTTGTATAAAGGTATTAAAATAGAGGGTGGAATTAAAGTCTAAAGGAAAAAGACAAAGTGGTAGATTAAGGTTATTTTAAGACTTTTAATTTAAAAATTTATGAGATTTTATGATCTTTATCTTCTTTATTTTTAGATAAACATATATCTTATGCTTTATTTAGTTATTTATTATCAATTTATAAATTAATCACTTTATATTTAGTTAAATTTTATATTGTTAATTAAAATTTGCATACTTTAATTATAAAGACATAAAATTTTATTATTTATATTGGTACAAGTTTGCTAGAATGAATAATAAATCAAAACATACAATCGATCCATTTGAATTAAGAGTAGACAAGAGATCCAAATTCGATAGGTTTTAACTTGATTCGATTTTATTGAGTGAATATTTAAAAAAAATCAAAGTTCATGTGATTTTTTAGATTACAAGTGTAGGTCAAATGAGTTTAAGATAAAAATATCAAATTCGACATAAAAGATAATATAATTATATCTTATTTATTTATGATAATTGAATTAATAATTCAATATATATTATTTTTTAATTATATAATTATTTTATCAAATAAAATTAAAAATATTATATATTTATGTCGAATTGAGTTGAGTTTAATATAAAGTATATCTCAAAAGACAAGCTAAATAAAATTAATTTTAAACTCAAATTAAATCAAATTTTAAATAAAAATATATTTTTATCAAATCAAATTGGAAAAAAAACACCATACTTAGCCAATCAATATCCATATCTAATTCGGACAGTTCTAACAAAGTGGCTACAATTTTTAAAGAAAGCGGTAGATGAAGTGGGAAAAGCTGTAAATGAATTTGCAAACAGAAAACAATAGAGCGCCGTAGACCCACAGTAATCCCATCGCATTCGAATCCCACTCAGTTTATTTTTTTCAAATAACAAACTGAAAACTCCCTTTCCAAGAGTTGCAGTCTCCCCTCTCTCAACACTCGGCCCAATCTCAATCCCATCAACTCAAAGAAATGCCTCTCCAATCTCAACCTTCGGACCCGCTTGAGGCCTATTCGGGTCTCTCGCTCTTCCCTCGGACCTTCGCTTCCTTCCCAAACCCTCTTCCACCTCACGACTCGGCCGATCTTCAACTCTCTCACGATTTTCTCAGATCCATGGTTTATCCTCTTCTTTTGTTTCTTGAATTATGTTCCTTGCCCTAAAATTACTTCACTGTTCTTTTGTACTATAAGAAAAATACTAATTTACTGATTTGTTTTTGTTTTTTTTTTTGATAAATTTTCAGCCGGTTCAAAGTCCTAATAAGCTTCTAGAGCAAGCCAAAGCGATTGTAGATAATAGTTCAGAGCTCTTGAAGTTGGAAGTGTCTAACTCTGATGCTGAACATATGGAACATCCTCGAGAACGGAGACCAGCTTTAGGTCGTAAACGATCTCGTTTCTTTTTGAAAGATAATTCAAGGTTAATCTTATTTGAAACTGCTTGTTTTTCTTGATTTTATTTTAGTTTGATGGTAACGTATGTTGAATTTCATTGCATTTCTTCATATTATTTTTTATAGTCAGCCTACTGTGAATTTGGAACCGAGTTTAGATATGGATAAATTGACAGATCCCGAAGAATTCTTTCTAGCATTTGAAAGGGCTGAGAGTAAGTTTGCTGCTCGATTTCAATTTTGTTTTATGTGGAAATATAGTCTTCTAATATTTCTATGAACTTAGCTTTTCCATGTTTGTATGTATTGTTTTATATAGATGCCAAAAGAGAAATAGAGAAGCAGACAGGCACTGTTCTGAAGGATTTGGATCAGAATAATCAATCCATGTTTGCACGGCCTCGTCGTCCTGGATTGTTGCGGTTTGATCAATGTTTCTTGTTACCAAATTTCTGTTGCATCCAATTTTTTCTTGGACATACTTGTTATCTGACTTAGCCTTATAAATTTATGTTCAGGAGATCCGTTAAATATAAACATTGCTATTCTACTGCTTTCTCCCCTCTGGAAAGCTTTGAGGAGGAAATTCCCAGTCCAGCTTGCAATTTGCAACCAGAAAATTCTGACCCGAATGTTGAATTAGAAGAGAAGGAATTGAGCGGTAAGTCAGGAAAGGTTGATTTGCCCTAATGTTTTGCTTTATTCTGTCTCTGCTATCCCATTCTTGATGTCTTATTTAAAAGACTAAAACTGACCTGCCATATAACTTGATTGTTGTATATGTTTGTTTTCATTATGTTGCAAGTTACCCCCGCTACGTACATGCAATAACATAATGCTATGTGCTGTCTCAGTGGCCAATGTAGAGAACAAGGTTAGTGAACTTTTGGACCATTTACTTACCAGTACCTGTGATGGGGATGACACAGTCAATCTTCTTCAAGAGCGTTTTCAGATCAAACCTCTTGATCTGGAGAATATATGCCTTCCTGACTTGCAAGATATTCGAAAGATTGATTTGAAGGATTCTAGAGAAAGCTTGGCAAAGCCTAGAAACTCGTTATCGGACTTGCAAAGTTTCATGAAAGGGTTCAGTAAAAGGACACAGAAACAAAATCCTGAAACTTCAGTTAATCAGTTAGCTTCTCCCATTCCACCAAGAAGTCCATTGACTTCAATTTCATTGCTGAAGAAACTACTATTGCAGTCTGATGTACTAACTGATCCATTTTCAACTGATGATGCTAACCGATCACCAGTGAGAAATGCATCTGGAATTGAATGTAACAGTAAACAATCTGATCAGGTTATTACAGAGAAGGGACTAAGTGTGTCTGACAATAATGATAGACAAACACCGCAACAGCAGCCAGAAAGTTCAATTCTTAAATTAGTTTCTCCTACACCTCCAAGAAATCCATTTGCTTCAATATCATTGCAGCAAAAACAGTTGTTGCAGTCAGATCCAGAATTCAATGCTTTTTCAACTGACAATATTGATCAATCACCTAGGGGGAATGCATCTCCTATTGAAAGTGTCAATAAACAATCTAGTCAGGCTGATGAAATGAATCTTGACATGTCTCATCTGGTAAGGTCTCCATTATTAGAGGCAAATCAAATTGCAACTGCTAATGCAAGTTCTGAGCTCAATGGTGGAGATTTTGCTGGTTTCTTTGACAAATTTGTAAATGATAATGCAAGAAGGTTTGATTCTGGTATAAATGCATCTAGTGGATCTCAGACCTACTTAGAGAATAACAGTTTAAGAAGGCCTGAAACTGAATCAGATAGTCGTACAATCCAACCAAATGAATTTGGAAGGGTGAGCTTTCCTATCGATTTTTCAATAGACTCATTTGCAGCTTGTGGAAATATTTGTTTCTGATTGTTATACTCCGAGGTATTGTGAAAAAAATGCAGGTGGAAGATATACCCCTGGAAGCAGTTGTTTCTTCTCAGATCCAAGTTAACGTGGAAGGTTCAACCATTGATAACTCAGGTGCCATTCAGAGAGAGTCGGGTATGAATATTTTCTCTGTTGTCAATGAGATATTGTTGTGGGATGGTGAACAAATGACCGATACTAAAATGTCTGAATTATAAGGTTTATTTTGTTGTTGCATATTAGCATACTTGTTATCTTTCAAAGTTGTATTATTATGATTTTTACAAACTAGAAAGAAAGTTTCTTCCTTATTACTTATTAGCCTTTTACCTTTTATCACCTATAAATGTGTGGATGGATGGAGAATGCCAAGTGGTATTATGACCTGATATGTCCTATTGTGCTATTGGGTAACCCTGGAGGGAGAATGCCAAGTGGTTTTATGAGCTTTATCATGGTTTTTATTTGCTTTCTTTTAGGTTATGGCTTTCCTTTTATTATCTGATTATGCGAAGGGAAATAAACCTGAGTTTCAGTTGACAGTCCATGAAAACTCTTGCTGCTTATGCTAATTGCTAATGTATTAAAGATCTAGTGCTTTTGGTTGGTCTTACCTGTTAATGTCCTGGGGTATTTATTCCACCAAGAGATCTTCAAGTCACTGCTGCAAGATGTAGAATTTTAAGATGCCTATCCTAAAGCCTTCCATATTCATGCTGACCATTTGACAACTTTCCGGAAGCCTTGCTGATTCTTGTCAGATGGGATCTCCTATTTTCATGCTTTGCCTTGTATAGCTAGTGAAGACTAATTTCCTTGTACCATTGAATAAACAAATTGCATTAGAGATACAAATTTATATTTGATATACCCATTTAGCTAATCAGTTTAACATATGCAGCACATTTCTGGTTGTGTTATAAATCAGAAATCCCATCTTATAGACCAAAGATAGTTCAGGCAGTAATTTTCTGCCTTTGAAGTATAACCTAATTTGAGCCAATTTTACCCGTTGTTTTGCTTTAAATAAATTTTCATTGAAATATATTTTCAAAATCTAATATTGTCGGATTTGAACTGTGACATTCACATTCCTGCACGGTAGATTATAAATTTCTTCTTTTAGTTGCCTTGGGCGTGGTACAATCTTGAATAACATTTCCATTCCCCTAACAGATGAATATAATGCAGCTATTGATGAGGACCACTCCATGAATGGATTTTTAAAAGCTGCTGAAAGTGCTGAGCAGCTGCACGAGGTTTGTACTTTCCAAGATTCTTTATCTTGTTTATTTTTCTGCTTAATCTAGCTGTCAACCTCCATGAATAGGGAGTTCTGTAGTGCTCTTTTGGGCGTCCATATAGAAGCTATACTATTACCTTTGTATCTTCGGAATATTGATTATTTCTCTGATTTTGCTTAATTTTATGAGTCTTGTATTCTCTGGTCTACCACTGGATTTTTGCGAATCCGTGCATACTTTGTTCTTCCATTTCCTATCTCTCTCTCAATGCTGAAAGAGCCATATAACAATTTTATATCAACTCAAAATGTTTACTCTAATTTACCAGTCTTCTAAAAGTTGCAGCTCAAAGATTGATTTTGCGGAAATGAAATTGTATACATTTCCACCTAGACTATAGTAGGATTAATGTTTATTGCCTTTTCTACAACTGTAACATTAAACATTTTGTGTTCTGTTGGCTGTCATCAGTTCATGATAAATAATTAAAATTGACAGTTGACTGACACAAAGTTGTTAACTCTATTTGAGGAATGACAAGCACTTTGATCTACTATAGTATCTAAGAATAAGCATTATATCAAATCATTCTGAATCTCAACCTAGTTTTGGACTGTTAACTACTTATGGGTTTTATTAAAAAAAATTGAAAATGTTTAAAACCACCAGGAAGGTAAAGCCTGAAACTTGATCTAGAAGTCTTGGTAGGAAACTTCACATACTGAAAATGATGCATCTGTATTGCAGAGCAATGGCTAATTGTCATTTTGAATAAAAAATGTTGCAAGGTTGTGGGTTAGTGGCAGTTTCTTTTAGATGCTTGTATTTAGAATGCTTCAATTTGCTGTATGGACTACCTTCAGATTTTATTAGTCTTGCCTATAGACCTATGAATGGAATCATTTCATGCATTTGCTGAAGAAAAATAAGTAAAACGGATGCCTATTTGTGGTTTATTTCCTTTCTTTTGAAAATTTATCATATTTATCTGTTTTTTCTTTTCTACTTTTAATTTGCTTATTTAGCAACAGAATAAGAAAGCCAAAATACAACCACAGCCATGCAATAAACATAAGGGGAAAGCACATTATCGAAGACAAAGCCTTGCAGGTGCTACTGATACCAAAAGCTCAACTTGCATCTTTAAAACTATTTGGGAATTCTGTTGGAATGAATAGCTGAGTTATTTCTTTCTAGGTTCCGGTACAACATTTGATGATGAAGGGAGGAGAAGAAGCACAAGGATCAGGTCAAGACCTTTGGAATTCTGGAAAGGTGAAAGATTCTTATATGGACGTGTACATTCAAGTGAGTACCTTCCCTCCCTTATGGTTTTTTACTATGCTAGTAGTTCATTATGCCATTATAAACTAAAACATCAACTGCCGTGCCTTCTGAAGAATTGCTAATTTCACTGAAAACTGTTCTTTAAAGGTGGATGTTTACTTCAAGAGTTTGTTTTAGTTATTCATGACAAGTATTCAGTCTGTTATAGTTTGTGACTTTGAGTTCAGTTCATTACTATAATTTGTACTGAACTTATGTTGCACGAGCCCTCAATCTCAAATTATTTTAGATCAGTGCCTAAATTATATAAGCCCTAAGTTTGGCTCCATAGTTTATGGAAGTTATGGAGATAGAAGCTTATCACAAAACTTCAGGCAATCATATTTTTGGTATCCCTCGACCTGGTGTCATTTCATCATTTAGTTCTATCAAATTTATAACACACCTTATGTCTAATCTGAGTTCTACCAATGAGAAACTATGCTTCACAGAGAATTTACTTAATCGTATGTTAAATCCCTTCATTTGGCCTCAAGCACTATCTCAAACATGGCTAATTTTCAATTTGATCTGCAATGAGTGAAATTATTGTGTTTGTACAGGTTTGGCAACCGTAATTGGAATAAAGTACGAGTCTCCAGGGAAGGGTGATGGTCTCAAAGTGAAGTCTTTCGTAAGTGACGAGTACAAAGAACTGATTGAACAGGCTGCCAGATGACCATAATTGTTTATGGACTCATCATGAATCCCCGGATCGTGAGGCGAGTTTAGCATCCTTCGATGAACTGACCAGTAGACATTAGTTCCCGGGATCTTTTTTTTTTTTTTACATTTTAAGTTCGATTTATGTATGTTGTGCATTGGTTTTAAATGTTAAATAATATTAATTGTGGTTTATCCTCTCTTTTTTTTTTTCAAATTAATTTTACAGGTTTAGACATTTCAGTTAGTTTAGTTGGTAGGTTTTTCATGGAATAGACAACCGAACAAACACGCACCAATTTAATATCAATGTATCACGTCTAAATAAATAAAGATACATGAATTGTAAATTCAAAAAGAAAAAAGAAAGATTGATTTAATCCATATTTCTAAATCTTAATCATTTATGATATATTAATTAAAAGTTGATTTTTTATTTTGTTCAAAAGAATAATTAAATCGATCAATTATACATTTTTTTTATTAATATTTGACTTAACGTAAATAAACCAATAGGGATTGGTTCAAGTGGTAAGCAACTTGATGTCGTTTAAATAAGATCTCAAGATCGAGTTTTTTTGTATGCAGAAAATTATTGTTGGGAGACACCCACTAAAGTCCGAATTATACAAGGCGAAGCCTTGAAATTAGGAGGGCAACAAAAAAATAAATATGTAAAATTTTAGATTTTTATAAGTCTTACACATGTCACTTAATGAACGAATTTAACGACAGACACCTAAAAATATAACGCCGTAAACTTTAGGTACATATTTTAACGGAAAAAAACTTTAAGCACTTAAACTTTAGGTACATATTTTACATTAAGCTTTAATATTTTTATAATTAATCTAAATATAATTAATATTTTTTAAACATTTATATTAATAAATTGTTGTCAAGCGTAATCTAACTTAAACCAAATTCATGAGTTAAATAAACAAGTTGTAAAGAAACGTAGCTGTCAGATGGTTCAGCAGAGTATTTATATTTCATATTTTTCTTTGAGAAAATAACCTAACAAAAAATGCCTTATAATATACGATTTTAACCAATTTTTTTTGGATTTACCAAAATGACCAACTAAATCGCAATACGATCGATAATTCGCAACGCGATCTCCGGTATCGCAAATCAGTTTCCAGATTCGTATCGCAATACGATAGTCGAAGTTCAGGTTGCGAATCTAGAAATTGATTTGCGATAGTCGAAGTTCGCGTTGCGATTTATTACAAATTCGTTGCGATAGTCGAAGTTCGTGTTGCGATTTATTCCAAATTCGTTGCGATAGTCGAAGTTCGCGTTGCGGTTTATTCCATGTTCGCGTTGCGAATCTGGAAACTGATTTGTGATACCGGAGATCGCGTTGCGAATTATCGATCGCATTGCGATTTAGTTGGTCATTTTAGCAAATCCAAAAAAAATTAGTTAAAATCGTATATTATAAGGCATTTTTGGTCACTGAGGTTATTTTCTCTTTTTCTTTTTCCTTTTTTGTTTAGTTAGAAGTTTGAAGAACAAAAGCTTCTAGAAGCTTTCAAAAAGCTTAAGTATAAACTATATGTTTAGTATCCAAGCTACGCTTTTATTTTGTTTTGGTCATCCAATTAACTTTTTTAAATTTATACACAACGTTTAGTTTTAGTTTCATTTTGGTCATCCGTCATAAAAAATTGAAGATAACGTTGGCATGTCATTATAAGGTAATGACACGTCATCATTTAAAAAAGAAAATACCATGTCGATAATTCATTTATTTTTTTAACGACGGGTGACTAAAATGTAAACGTTAGACATGATTTTGAAAAAAAAATAACTGAATGACTAAAATGGAACAAAAGTGATAGTTTGAATACTAAACGTTTACTTTATCCAAAGCCTAACAATACCAACAAATACAGTTGAAGAAATGAGATAAAAAATACTTTTGCTCATTGTTCTGAAATTTTGGAACGCTAAGAAAGTGAGGACAGCACGTCTGCAATGTCTCTACGGTTTTGGCTTTTTCCAATTTGTTTATTTATTATTTAAAGTAAAATATCAAATCATCCGTCCATTTTTTTGATAAAAAATACGTCGCTCCATTATATATATATATATATATATATATATATATATATATATATATATATATATATGTCGCGGCCGTCATTTGGTTGGGTCTGGAATTAGATTTTGACTTGAATAATTAGGTTAGAGTTGTCACCGATAATTTTAAAACGATATTTAGATAGATCGGATACCATCTTACTTAATCTGCGTTTCACCATAAATATGTTGGGTTTAGGAGTTGGTTACAGTCAAGGAAGGATTATTACCCATTAACTGCCCTTTCGGTACTACGTAATTTTCAGTCGTCTTTAATTAAGAAAATTAAAAGTTTAAATTAAAAAGACAAAAATAACGATCCCAATTATTCACCTCCGACTAATTCGAAAGTGTACCCATAAGAAGTCATGAAAGGTGTTAGAAAAAATGTGATGAAAATAAATAAGAATAAATAATATAAAATAAATAAGGAAAAAATAGATGAAATAAATAATAAAAAAGTAAATAACATAATTAAAATAAAGATGGAGAAAATGAAATAAAAAGACAAAGACAAATATATAAAAATATACATAAATAAAACAAAATAAAAAAAAGAGATAAATAAAGAAAAAAATGAAAAAAGATAAACAAAAAATAAATAAAGTAATATATATATATATTAGCGTATAAATAAATATTAGGGAAAAAATAATAATAAGAAATGAAATAATATATATATATATATGAAATAAAATATTAGAAAAAATATAGTAAGGATAAAAAATAAGATAAAATAAATAATAAATAAGAATAATGATAATATAAAAATTAAAGAAAATAATAAAAATAATAAAAATAATAAAAGAAACAAATATATATATATATATATTAATAATAAAAGGACGGAATTGAAATAAAAGTTAAATTGGAGGGTCAATTTTAAAGAAATTCTGGTTTAAATTCAATTTAGGGGATAAAGCTAACCATTTAAAAAACCGGGGACCAAATGGGAATTACCCTATTTTAATTTGAAAACACACGGGATAGGGATCCGCTCGGGTCGGGTCGGTCATGGGCTTTTGTATAAAAGTCGAAAAAAAATTAAATGCTCATTTCTCCTCTTCACATGCCGAGACCCCCTCCTTTGCTTCATCTTATTAAGTGTTCATAAAGGATGAAGAACACGACTAGATTTAATACGTTTTAGTATGTAAATAAGTGAATAAATTATATCTCGAAAAATGTTTTAATACGTAAAGAATTTTTTTGTTAAAAATAGGTGTTGAATTTTTTTTCGTTACAATTTTAGGAGTCTATACGTCAACTGCCATTAAAAATCTATGTTAAGTGATACATGTCACTTTTTGGTAATTTTAAAAAAAATTATTTAAAAAAAATATTTTAAAAAACTTAATTTTTTTCAAATCTTAAAAAAAATCCAAAACTTTTAAAACTATAATTTTAATCCCGTTGCCACCGTCGGTCGCCACCAAAGCCGTTAATCGGCCGAACACTCAACGACATGTAATCTGTCAGCCACCTACGACCAAAATCCCCATACTTTTGCAACCGATCAAATACCAAAAAATGATGTAAATAAAATATTTTATTTTAGGGTTTTGAAGGATTTATGTTTAGGAATTTATAGATTTAGGGAGATTTGATGTTTGATCGGTTAGGAAAATATGGGGGTTTTCGTTGTGGGTGGTTGGTCGGTCACACGTCGTTGGGTGTTCAACCGATTGACAGCGGTGACAAATAGATTAAAATTAAAGTTTTAAAAGCTGTGGGTTTCTTCTAAGATTTGAAAAAAAATAAGTTTTTTATTTAAAATAAAAATTCTCAAAATTATCAGAAAGTAATATGTATCACTTAACAGAGATTTTTAACTAAGTTAATGTCCGGGCACCAACAATGATAACAGAAAAAATATTAGACACTTATTTTTAACAAAAAAATATTTAAGTACTAATATTTTTCGATATATAATTTGAACACTTATTTTTTTATTAAGTAAAAAAAATGAAATTCTTTAAATATTATAATAATCCATGAAAAGTGATTGGAAGTTTTGGTAAAATAACGTAGGAGACACGTTGACACGACAACCTCACACTCAATATAAAAAATAAAGGTCAAATCTGAGAATTAAACGTCAGGCCGTTCGGCTATTCCAAGGTCTCCCCATGGTCTTTTCTGTTCTAAAAAGACACGACCTCAACAACGTTAACATTTTATCTCACTTTATCCCCTTTCCTTCTCTATATATATAAGGTACATTGAGTTCTTGAATCAACCCAGATTTTTCCTTTTCTACATTTAACGATGGAGCTGCTGATCCCAAATCTCCCCAATGATGTTGCCCTTGACTGTTTAGTTCGAGTTAAGTACGATCAATTCGCCACACTTTTGTCAACATGCAAAGGCTGGAAAAACCAGATTGAGCAACCCGAGTTTTTTCAGCTAAGGAAGGCCAGTTCCCATGGCCAAAAGCTCGTAGTCATGGCTCAAGCTCGGGTTGACCCGGATTTGAAACAGGCTCTTCAAAAAGGCTGCTCCCTTAAACCTGTCTTCGGGCTGTCTGTTTTAGAGCTGGATACGGGTGATTGGGTTGACTTTCCGGTACTTCCCGGTGAGTACCATAACGGGTTACCATATTTTTTCCACATGGTTGCTGTCGGGTATGATCTTGTGCTGATTGGTGGATTGGATCCGGTGACTTGGGAGGCCACCGCTTCTGTCTTTGTATTCAGTTTCTTGACTGCCAAGTGGCGTAGAGGGGCTGATATGCCCGGCGTACGGCGGTCGATGTTCGGTTGCGCTTCCGGAGATGGTAGGATGGTTTACGTTGTCGGTGGTCATGACGAGGAGAAGAATGCCTTGAAATTGGCATTGGCGTACGATTTGGTCAAGGATGAATGGATTCCGTTGCCCGACATGGCAACCGAGCGCGACGAGGTTAAGGGAGTTTTCCGCTGCGGCAAGTTCCACGGGATCGGGGGCTACGGAACCGATACGCAGGGCCAGTTCGAGAGAACTGTCGAGGTGTTCGACGTCGCGACGTGGCGGTGGAATCACGTGCAGGAAGACTTCTTGGAAGCCAGCACGTGTCCAAGCACTTGCGTATCTGGTCATGACGTGGATTTATATATGATTTACGAAGG